GTGACCCCAAACATTCCCATTGCCCTGGGGGGCCCGGCCGTAACAGGACTCGTTCAAGGGGTCAGGCTGTGCCCGTGGGGCGGTTTTGGGGGTCCCGGGGGTCTCACATGCCACTCCGCGGTGCCCGTGGCTCTGTGTCTCTCCTCACAGCGCACGTTCCGCAGCCGTGTCCGGCTCCTCCAGCGGGTGGTGGTGGTGGGAGGGGACGTCTCGGTCGTTTCGGCGCCGATGGCCACGGGGGGAGTGGGGACCACTGTGGGGAGAGAAGGGAACATGTGGGGCAGGGACTGTCCCTGTGCTCAGGAGAGTCCCCAAAGTGACACCACGGGGCGGTGGGAGCGGGCACAGCACGGCGCTGCTCACGGGTGGGGGGGCAGAGGGACAGACGGACAGACAGGAGCAGGGATGGATGGACAGACGGACAGGAGCAGGGATGGACGGATGGACGGACAGACAGGAGGAGGGATGGATGGACAGAGAGGAGGAGGGATAGATAGACAGACGGACAGACAGGAGGAGGGATGGATGGACAGGACAGACAGGCAGACAGACATGAGGAGGGATGGATGGACAGACAGGAGCAGGGATGGATGGACAGACAGGAGCAGGGATGGATGGACAGGACAGATGGACAGACAGGAGCAGGGATGGATGGACAGACAGGAGCACGGATGGATGGACAGAAGGACAGACGGACAGGAGGAGGGATGGATGAACGGACAGGAGCAGGGATGGATGCACAGAAGGACAGACAGGAGCAGGGATGGATGGACAGACAGGAGCAGGGATGGATGGATGGATGGATGGATGGATGGACAGGAGCAGGCATGGATGGACAGACGGACAGACGGACATACCGATCTCCCGCAGGCTGAGGAGCCGAGGGGCCGAGCGGGCGGTTCCCAGCGCGTTTCTGGCCAGCACCCACACCGAGTAGCGGCTCTCGTTGCGCAGCTCCCTGAGCGGCACCGGGGAGTCCGCAGGGAAGATCTTTTCCTCTTCCTCCTCCTCATCCTCTGCYACCACCCTGGGAAGCAGCAGCGGCCCCGTCAGTGCCATCCCAACACCACACACCACTGGCACAGCCACCCCTGCTCCTGACCATCCCCAAACCCAGAGTCTGTCACCCCTAGAGGAAACTGAAAATCATTCCCTTCTCTTCTGACACCGCTGCCAGCGATTTGTGTTTTCACTGCGTGAAGGGAACTTTCTCCTTCCTTTCTATCTGCTTGGTTCAGTTTGATCCCAAGCAAATTTAGGCAGGAGCTTTAYCCCTTCTCTTCACAAAGCCTCCATATGATGGGGTTTAATGTCTTTAAAATTGAGTCACATTAGCTGAAAGGCTGCCAGGCGGGTGCCGTGGGGACTTCAGGGGCAGGGGACATCCYGGGATGGTGCCATGGGAATTCAGTGAAGGGGACATCCCGGGATGGGCTGTGACATGCCAGGCGGGTGCCATGGGGACTGTGAAGGGGACATCCTGGGATTTGCTGTGACATGCCAGGCGGGTGCCATGGGGATTTCAGCCCGGGATGAGCTGTGACATGCCAGGTARGTGCCATARGGACTTCAGGGRCAGGGGACATCCCGGGATTTGCTGTGACATGCCAGGCTGGTGCCATGGGGACTGTGGTGGCAGGGAGAGTCCCAGGATGGGGCTGCGGCACACCCTGCAGCAGCCAGCACCTCTGCATCCCCTGCAAGCTGSGGTTTCAGTTTTGGGGTTTGGGCAGCGTTGGGTTCACCCTCTCTTTAGCCGGGAGGGAGCCCGAGCAGCTGGAAGCAGTGCCGGGCACGATGGAATCGGTGCAGCATCGCTGGCAGAGCTCATCCTCGGCACCAGCCCGGGTGGAACGCGCGGTTCTGGGGCGGGAGGTGACAAAACGTGAGCCGGAGGAAGTGTAAATGGGGCACGGCTTCACCCGGGGCTGCCAGCGGCCCCCTGAACCTCACCTGCGCAGGTGGAGGCTGTGCTGGGTGGGCAGGTGGGTGCCCCGTCCCSCGTTCCAGGCGCACTGCAGGCGCTCCGAGCCCTCGGCGATGGCGCAGCTCAGGTTACCGGGGGCGTCCGGGGGGTCTGCGGGGGCGAGGCGGGGTGAGGGCACGGGAGGAGCCAAAGCCCGGCTCCCCGGAGCTCGGCAGCCGCCACAGCCCCCCCAGCGCTGTTTAGGGGCACGGGAGGAGCCAAAGCCCGGCTCCTCGGAGCTCGGCAGCCGCCACAGCCCCCCCAGAGCGGGTTTGGGGGCACGGGAGGAGCCAAAGCCCGGCTCCTCGGAGCTCGGCAGCCCCAGCACGGGTTTGGGGTCACGGAAGGAGCCAAAGCCCGGCTCCCCGGAGCTCGGCAGCAGCCACAGCCCCCCCAGCGCGGGTTTGGGGCGCGGGAGGAACCAAAGCCCGGCTCCCCGGAGCTCGGCAGCCCCAGCACGGGTTTGGGGTCACGGGAAGAGCCAAAGCCCGGCTCCTCGGAGCCCGGCAGCCGCCACAGCCCCCACAGAGCGGGTTTGGGGTCACGGGAGGAGGCAAAGCCCGGCTCCTCGGAGCTCGGCAGCCGCCACAGCCCCCCCAGCACGGGTTTGGGACACGGGAGGAGCCAAAGCCCCGCTCCTCGGAGCTCGGCAGCCCCAGCACGGGTTTGGGGGCACGGGAGGAGGCAAAGCCCGGCTCCCCGGAGCTCGGCAGCAGCCACAGCACCCCCAGCGCTGTTTGGGGGCACGGGAGGAGCAAAGCCCGGCTCCTCGGAGCTCGGCAGCCCCAGCGCGGGTTTGCGGGCACGGGAGGAGCAAAGCCCGGCTCCCCGGAGCTCGGCAGCCGCCACAGCCCCCCCAGCACGGGTTTGGGGCACGGGAGGAGCAAAGCCCGGCAGCCCCAGCGCGGTTTGGGGGCACGGGAGGAGCAAAGCCCGGCTCCTCGGAGCTCGGCAGCCGCCACAGCTCCCCCAGCACGGGTTTGGGGCACGGGAGGAGCCAAAGCCCGACTCCTCGGAGCTCGGCAGCCCCACAGACCCCCCCAGCGCGGGTTTGGGGCTCGGGGCTCGGTGCCCCCGGTACTCACAGCCCGCCCGCAGCTCCGCGCCGCACACCAGGCGGTCCGCGAGGGTGTTGGCGCAGCGGGAGAAGCAGGTGACGGTCCCGAAGGGCATCCGGAATTGGGGCAGCTGCAGCCGCACGGCGCTGCCGTTCAGGGGCTGCAGGGAGCCCTCAGCGCGGCTGTAGTTGAGCAGGATGAGGAGCCGCTCCGAGGGGCAGCCGCGGGTGGACGCGCAGCCGATGGACACGGCCGAGCCCATCCGCACCACGGGCCCGGGCTCGATCCACACGCGGCCCCGGCACTCGATGTTTGCGGCACCTGCGCCAAAGGGGGTGGGCTCGGGGRGTGTCCCAGGGGAGGAGGGGGTGCCCGTGGGCTGAGCTGCTCGGCAGGGAGCTGCTCTGAGCCCCGGGATGCGGCGGCGGCACGGCCGGAGCCTGCGGAGAGGGGATCGCACCCCGCCAAGACGCCTTGCACCCCTCGGGATGGGGACAAACCGGGGGGCACCGCTGGTGCTGGGGAGAAATTGTTCCCCGGGAGGGTGGGAAGGCCCTGTGGGGAGGCTGTGGCTGCCCCTGGATCCCTGGCAGTGCCCAAGGCCGGGTCGGACGGGGTTTGGAGCCCCCTGGGATAGYGGAAGGTGCCCCGGTCCCGGGCTGGATGAGCTCCGCGCTCCCTCCCTGCCCCAGCCCCCCCTGATTCATCCCCGCCCATCACAAACAGCCAGTTTCGCCAGTTTCACCCATTTTAGCTTTTGCTCTAACGTTTAAATGACTGCAGGGAAATAACCCGCGCTCTCGAGAGAGCTTTGATCCCAAGATTAGCGCGGCGGAGGCGCTGCCCTTTGCTATCAGATGAAGCTGAGCGCAGCCCCGGCTCGCAGGCACTATCGGGCTCCATCTGCCCTTCCTGGAAAGGGCACGGCTGTGCTCCAGCTCCGTCTGCACGGGCAGATCCCAGCGCCCAGCACAGGGGCTGCGAGGAGCCGGGCACTGCTCAGCTCCGAGGATGGAGCGGGGAGGAGAAAGTTCTGCAGGGCACAGCCCCCTCTGCAGTGCTCCCCCCCAAAATTCACGGCTGTAACTTTATAATTCCCACCCCAAATTCCCTGCAGGACCTGGGCGTTGCTCTGGGGTCAGCCCTGCCGKGGTCACTCACCTTGGCACAGGCAGMAGAGCAGGACGAGGAGCAGCCAAACCTCGCTGGAGCCCGCCATGGCCTGGAGTGCGGCCGCTGCCCACGCCTGGCATAGTCTGGGGGAKGAAGATGATGGAGAAAATCCTGCTGGGAACGAGCTCCAGGACAGACAGGAGGAACGGGAGGGGATGGGAGRAGGGAGCGTGGATTTGTGACAGGGAATGTGAGCAGCTCTGCCTTGGGGAAGAGGGGTTTGGTGCCCTCTGAGCCAYCCGGGGTGTGGGCTCCAGGGATGGGACAGACTGGGACACACTGGGGTGAAGGGTGGGAGGGCTGGGAGAGCTGCTCAGCCCGGACAGGAGGGGCTCAAGGGGGTCAGATCCTCGGGAATGATGGTCTGAGGGGCAGGAAGGATGAGGGAGCCAAACTCCTGCCGGTGCATCCCAGGGACAGGACTGGAGGCAATGGGACCACAATGGAAAACAGGAAATCCCAGCTAAACTCAGAAAAAACCCTTTAAAAGTCCCACAGCGGGGCTCATCCTGCAGCCTCCATCTCTGGGGCTGCTCCCACATGGTTTTATGGGACAGAAGCTTCATTTTTTTACAATATCTTCCCCCCAGGCTGAGCAACAGCTCTTCCCAGCAGCGAACCCCTCACACAGCCCCAAAATCCCAGACCAGAGCTTCCCACTCCCCCCAAGGATCCACCCTTGTGTCTGCATCCCACAATCGCTGATTTTTTTCCCCTGCTCCCTTTGCCTCCTTCCACAGCCTCTTTGGAAGGGTTCCCACACTCCAGCCCCACTTTAGAGGGGCAGCCCATCCTCCCCAGCCCTGTGGGACCGGAATGTGGGGCTGGGGTGGATTTGCAGGAGCCAAGGCTMGGACAGGGGAGATGCAGGGAAATGCAGCTCCCAGGGAAATGGCTCTTCCCCAAGACAAGCATCCTCCTAAAATAACTCCAACCTCCCCAGAGACCCGACTGGGGGGCACAGAGCCCACCCTGAACACCCCCATTCACCTGTTGAATTCCCATCCAACACCCAGCCAAGCCCCCTCTCCATCATTTCCTTCCCCCATGCAATACCTGCTGTCAGGAAATGCAAGTTTTCCCTGGAGAGAGGCCAGAGTCCACAGTAAAAGCTTCAAAATGCTGTTTTTTCAGCCCAAAGCAGGCCACCACCAGCAGCAGCAGCAGCAGCAGCAGCAGCAGCAGCAGCAGCGAGTGCCTCGGATTTCTTGTGCGGGGTGAGGTGACCTGGTTTGGTTTTAGGGCTGCTCAAGCACGAATGAGTCAAATTTCGAGTGCCTCCCTATTACCTGACCTACAAAAAGAAGCTGACGGTTCCCAAGAGCCTACGAGCCCTCTGCAAATCAGAGCAAATTAAAAAAAAAAAAAAAATGCAACTGGGGTCCTGTGAAAAGAACTGAAAATGCTGAATGTGCCCAGCTCCCAGAGGGATCGCAGCTCTGCCTCCTCTGGGAATCACATTGGTGTTTTTATTCCAATTTAGGGGCGTTTGCTGCCTCCAAAGCCAAAGGAACGAGGCCGTTTGGAGATGCTGGGCTTTGAGCTCATCCCTGGTAAAGGATTAGGACCAAAGGAATGTGAATTCAGTGAAGAAGGGAAAATCTGCTCCGTGGTGCCACCCCAAACCAGGCGGGATCTGCCCCGGGAGCGGAGGAGCAGCGGGTGAGGAGCAGGAGCTGGGATTTTTGGGGTTCAGTGCGGGGGGCTCGGGGAGCAGGGGGTCCTTACCTTGTCAGCGCTCAGGACATTCGGGATTGTCCCCCTGCCTCTCCCCCCGCGGCCGAGGAGCATCGGCGGTGTCAGCCCGGCCGCTSTGGGGCTGCCCTACAGAACGCAGCCGAGTTTCCTTCGCGGTCTGAGTCAGTCCATGGGGAAACCCAGCACCCCTTAAAGGAGCAGCCTCCCCCGGGGCGAGGGCTTTGGCAAAATCTGGCAGGATTTGGGAAAGGTGAGCTCATCCCGAAAGGATCATCACGATGAGGGAGAGCAGAGCGGGGTCCTGGGCGCTGTCAGGGAAAGAGCATTTTCCTGCCGATCCCACAGGCACGGGGTGAAAAGTCCTAAAGGAATGGGGTCGTTCTGGCTGGCAGTGGGTCACCCCCTCTGCTCGTGCTGTCCCCAGCTCACCCAAGAGTGTCACAGGCATCACCGGGGTTGGGAGAACCAGGGATGCTCCAGGGATACTCCAGGATTGCTCCAGGGATGCTCCAGGGCTCCAGGGGGTTCCAGGGATGCTCCAGGAATGCTCCAGGGATGTTCCAGGGAAGCTCCAGGGCTCCAAAGATGCTCCGGGGATGCTCCAGGGATGCTCCAGGGATGCTCCAGGGATGCTCCAGGGATGCTCCTGGGATGTTTCAGGGATGCTCCAGGGCTCCAGGGATGCTCCAGGGATGCTCCAAGGATGCTCCAGGGCTCCAGAGATGCTCTAGGGATGTTCCAAGGATGCTCCAGGCATGTTCCAGGGCTGCTCCAGGGCTGCTCCAGGGATTATCCAGGGATTATCCAGGAATGCTCCAGGGCTCCAGGGATGCTCCAGGGATGCTCCAGGAATCCAAGGATGCTCCAGGGATGCTCCAGCGCTCCCCACCCCGCCGGCTCCCTCTGCTGCTCCCAAGCTCTGCAGAGCCCGTGACTTCCTTTCTCGTGTCGGTTGAAGGGTTAAACCTCAAAAACAGTGTTAACCTCATTAGACACTGCAACCACAGGAAATCCCGCACGGCTCTCGCCTCTGCCTCGAGGGAGGAAACGCTGGGGAGCAGAATTTACCCAGCCCGGGGCGAGGCAGGGCCTCCCTCTGCCAGCAAACCCRGCTGCTCCGGGTTTTCACCCATCCACGGGGATTTTTTGGTGGAAGTGAGAAAAAGCACCGCAGGGTGAAACCTGGCGGGGCGGGGTGGTTATGTAAATGAAATAATGAGCCTGTGCGGCTATAGGAACGGATGGTTTGGGTGGTTACACACACCCCGAGCTGGGCTGGGAGGGTTCAGCGGGAATTTCAGTTTTGGCACGTCCTGGGAGTGTTCAGTGCACGGGGCTGGGGCAGCACCAAGGACGAGCACATCTGGGCCYGGGGGGCACATCTGGAGCTGGCACAGTGCGGGGCATGTGGAGATTTCCCAGATCAGGTGTCTGAGCCCTCGAAGCCGCTGCTCCCTGCCCTTCCCAGGCTGTCACGGATCCCCCACTGCCCGTTTAACCCAAATATCCTTATCCCTTCCTGAGCTGCAGGGCAGTGTGTTGGGGCTCACACCAGGCTCTTTCCCTCAGATTTCTCCTTCCCCTGCTCACGAATCTCCATTGCTGTTGCCTTCCTACACTGTCCAGGCTTTCCAAACTTCATCGTGTTTGGGATTCCCTGTGCTTTGTTCAGGTATTCCTCACAGTCTGGTGTGAATGGAGGGCAGAGGTGGATGGAATTTTGGGAAGGAATTGTTCCCTGCAGGGTGGGCAGACCCTGGCACAGCTGTGGATGCCCCTGGATCCCTGGCACTGCCCAAGGCCAGGCTGGAGCACCCTGGGACTGTGGAAGGTGAAACAAGACGAGGTTTATTCTCCCGCCAAACCCAAACCATTTTAGGATTCTGTGATCCTTTGGCCAGAGGTGGGAACCCCTTTCCAGCAGTTTGGTGCCTGCAGAGGGTCCCTCCCAAAGCTGGCAGAGCCCAGGGGGCTTCTCCCAGCACAGCCAGGATGGCACCTTGGTACCCAGGGCTGCCCAGCCCGGCACGGGGTTGGGGTCAGTTCCGGCCTGGCACAGAGTTGGGGTTAATTCTGCTCTCCCCCAAGGAATCCCCGGGTTCTGGGGGTCCCGTTCCCCCCGCTCCCCGGGCTGGGCTGTGCCGTCCCCGCCTCCCCCGCCGGCGGTCGGATCTCCCCGGCATTTCCCCGCTGTCGTGCCCTTCCCGTTCCCGGTGACACTGCCGCTGTCACCGCTGTGCCACCCTCTCCGTGTCCCTTCCCCGTGCCCCGGTGCCGGGCTCGCAGCCCCTTTCCCCTCCCCGGAGCCCGCAGCAGCTTTTGGCACGGAGCTGCCCCAGTCAAACGAGATTAATCTGAAAGCGGATTAATTTGCCAATTGTTCTCTTGGGTGGGCACGCTCGGATTCCTGCCCTGCCCCGGAGGCTCCGGGCTCCCGGAAGGAAAGGTGGGCACAGCCCAGGAGCGGAGGGGACACGGGGGACACGGGGGACACAGACACCTTCTCGCGGAGGTGACACCCAGATATTTGATCTTAAACTCTCCGTAACTGCGAGGGAGGGGACACCGCCCCCTCGGGGACATCCCTGCCCTCCCCAGCGAGGTTTCCCGGGGGACAGGGACATTCCAGAGGGAGCGCGGGGCTGGCAATGGGCGCTGTTTGCGTCAGCCCCGCTGGCACCGGGATTAGGTTCCTCTCCGCACCGGAGCTGTAAATATTCCCAAATGCCGCGGGTTAAGGGCAGCCGGGCTCGCTGCRGGAACCAGGAAGGTGATGCCAATGTCAAAGGGGCTTTGCCTGTGATTTTTGGCCGGGGTAAAAGGACAGCCGAGATATGGTGAAGTCGGTTTGTGCTTCCTGTGAGCTGTGCCAGGGAACAGCCGCTGCTCTGTCCATGCCACCGGGGCAGCAGTGGGAGCACGAATCGGGCAGGGAAAGGAAAGTTTGGGCAGAGTTTGCTTTTCCCTGCGAGGGGAGAGTTTTGGGGTGGGCCGAGCGTGCCAGGGCGAGCGGCAGCTCCCATTTCCCTGCCTCTGGAGCCTGCAGGCTGTGGCTGTGCCCAGGCAGGCCATGGCAGCCCRAAAATTGGGAATAAAGCTCCCCAAACGGGGCTGTTTCCTCTGCAAACACCGCCGTGGCCACGGGCAG